TTTAAACTTGTTTATTGACAAATTTTGAATATGTTCTGGGATTTTGTTGTAAAAGCGTATACATTGCCCCATAAATGAATTACTGATTCTGTGGAGTCTAGTAACTTGCATTACAAGCTTATGTTTGTTCCTAGTGTTTAAAGTATGAACATCCTTATTCTTATTAAAGCTATTTATGTTTTTATGCACATACATTACATTCTCATAAATATATTGCGATGCCAAAGTTAATATGTTTATTTCTTTAAATTTTTCTCTGAGGGACTCTTTACAATTAAGGTTGTAAATCGCCCGTACGGCTCTCTTTTGCAAAACAAATATAGCTTCAATATCAGTCGCGTTACCCCATAGCAAAATTCTATAAGACATAACGCTATGTCTTATAGAATTATGTATGTAGAGGTATGTGCTCAATTCTGGTGCTCTTAGACTTCTCCCGAGCGTTTGATTCAATCGATCAGTCATTGCTCCTGGCTAAGTTGTCATTCTATGGCTTTGATGCTAATGCGGTCAAATGGTTTGGCAGTTATCTCACTGGAAGGCAACAACGTGTGGAAATCATTACAAGTGACGGTACTAGGATTCAATCAATCCCCCAGAATATTACACGAGGTGTTCCACAGGGCTCGATACTTGGGCCTGTTCTTTTCACGCTATATTCTGCTGATATCGTAAAGAAAATTAAACACTGTCATTACCACCTATATGCTGATGACCTACAAATGTGCTATTCCTTTATACCATCGCCATCAGGTCTTCTTCAGGCTATTAATAAAATAAATAACGATTTAGAGGCTATTTCTGTTTGGTCAAAGTTAAATTCATTGGTTCTAAACCCTGACAAGACAAAGTTTATGTTAATAGGATCAAAAAATATGATTTCAAAACTTGTAAATGTCCCCATAGGTTTAAAAATTGGAAACAGTTCTATTGATCAAATCTCCGAGGCTAGAAGCCTTGGGCCTAGGCTTGATAACCACCTGCGTTTCGAAGCACATGTCAGAGAAAGTGTACGAAGCTGTTTTTATAGATTAAAAATCTTATATAAAATCAGACCATTCTTAACAGAGCAAATGAGGATAAGATTATGCGAGTCTTTGATTTTGTCCAAATTAAATTACTGCGACGTGGTATTTGGACCTTGTCTATTAAGTAGGACTCAGAGGCTCATACAGCGTGTGCAGAATGCATGTGCGAGGTTCTGCTTCCACATACCACCTCGTACGCATGTTACTCCTTTTCTAAATAATGCAGGTCTATTAAAAATGTCATCGCGTCGAAAATTACAAAATCGAAAATTACACCTTATTATTTGGAATAATTGCATCAAAAACTCCTCGGTACTTATATGACAAATTAGTGTGGGTTAGCGAACAATCAAAATATCCTAAACGTAAATGTACTAAGGTTTTTGTTATTCCGAAACATAGAACAATGGCATTTAGAGGGTCCTTCAGGTACGCAGCTTCTCGTTGCTGGAACGATCTGCCGCCACCAATACGTGCTCTATAAACTATAGGAATATTTAAAAAAAACTGATATTAATTTTAAAGCAAGACTATAATCACAAATAATAAATAAAATTTTCCTTTTTTTACGTGTACTATTTAAAGGGCCTCCATTTAATACTAAAAAGATATGATGACTGTAAGATTCACTGTATTTATTTATTTTTTATCTCCACACTAATTTTCAGATCACTTTCTGTTTCGTTTCTTTTCGTTGATGGTGTGGTTAAATCTTCTTGGTCTTTAATTATATTCAAATGTTTAGTTTATTTTATTAAAATTAGACGATATATTTCATGTTGTTGAGCTGCTGAGCACTTGATCATGTATGTGTACATATAAGTGTGTATGAATGTATAGATATGAGTTCATATGTAAGTGTATGTTTATGATTGCTTAAACAATGTATTATTATTTCCAAATAATAGCTCTTATTATGCTGTCTCTGTCCCCACACTGAATATTTTTCTTTAAGTTTTAGCTTTAGGTAATGTATGACCGTCCGTGAAGCCAATATTAGGCTCTATTTGAAAATCAGCGCTGCTATCATCTAGTTCAGCAGCTGTTAGCTGAAATAGGGACCTAATTTGACTTTACACAAATCCAGTTTTTTATATCTCGTGTTATTTTATTTATCTTTTTCTTTGTGATGTCAAATAAAGTTTTCTTTCTTTCTTTCTTTCTATGAAAATAACTAAAATACACTAATCTAGCTGTCTCAACATCTGTGAGACTTCTAATCTGTCTTACAGCATATGCTGCAGAACTAAGTCTGCTTGCTAATTTAGATATATGGGGTCCCCGTCAAGAAGTTTTGCGTCAATAGTAATACCAAGAAAAATAGTGGTATCCACAAGACTCAACTCCTCCCCATTTAACAGCACATTAGTATTCGAATGTTTAACATTAGGTATTGTAAACTTAATACACTTTGTCTTATTGCCGTTTAAGAGCATATTGTTGGCGATAAATCTATGTGCCAATTTCGATAGAGCATTATTTATATCGTCATAATTAATTAACTGCCGTTGGAGTTTGAAAATTAAAGAGATATCGTCAGCAAATAAATATCGTGATTGTCACCTACAAGATAAGGTAAGTTATTAATATAGATTAAAAACAGGAATAGGCCAAGAATCGAGCCCTGAGGAACGCCCATTGATACTACTGATCCGGAGGAACCTTTACCATTGATCACGACTTTTTGAATTCTGTTACTTAAATATGAAGTAATAAGTCTAAGCGTTAAATTTTTCACACCGTAATGTTGTAGTTTCCTGATTAATGTCTCATGATGAACACAATCGAAAGCCTTGGAAAGGTCACAGAAAATACCTAAGGCATCTTGTGAATTCTCCCAGGTATTAAAAATATATTTCATAAGCTCAACACCGGCGTCAGACGTCGAGCGACCCCTTGTAAAACCAAATTGGTTTTTATGAAATAATTTATTAGTATTTAAAAAAAATTACAATTGAACCAAAATTATATTTTAAAAAAAATTTACTGAGAGTTGGTAGTACAAAAAGAGGTCTAAAGTTAGCGGGGCCCAATAAACTACCAGATTTAAATAAAGGTATTACTTTACTATACTTCATTAAATCAGAAAACACAATAGAATCGATACAAGTATTAAAGATTACTATCTTTATACTTGTATCGATATTAGCAAGATGAGGTGCAATTAAATCTGTGGGATACCAACAATAAACAAAGCCACTTCGCGCGCGCACACGCCCATCTGAATACTTCGGCAACCTTTATGCCAAGGTAAATTAATACTCTCATTATGCCAAGGTACCCATCACTCGCTCAGAGATTCCGGAGTAGACGCACGTTCGATCGCCTTGCATTTTCTATACTTACGATAGTTACATTCCAGTATTGTTTTGTTAGTTTCCGCCCTTTTACTCTTGTTCTTTTTGTTTGCATTCACTATAGTATTTTGGCTTGTTTTATGTGTTAAATGTAAATTCTAATGTATATAATTATAACTGACTTATACTGAACTTTGGACTTTCTTTGTTCACCATACTACCTAAGACACAGTGCAGTTAAAAATACTTTAATCGCTACATTGGTGACCTCGACGATGGCAACGGATGATAAATTCCAAGATGCAGCTGCTGGAGAATCCTGCAGAGTCAGTGTGCGATCTCTGCTGTTTTAGCCTGAGGAACCAGGTTTATAGTTTGCCCAAATGGAAGGCCTGCTTATTTTATCAAATGTGACGTCTGATACAACAAAATTCTACCACGTTATTGCACAACTTGACCACCGGTATGCAACAAAGGTAAAGGATATTATTACTTCACCGCCGTTAACAAAAAAGTATGAAAAGTTAAAAACGGAACTTATTAAGCGTCTTTCTGCGTCCCAGGAGCGTAAGGTTAAACAACACCTCATGCACGAGGAGTTGGGCAATCGAAAGCCATCTCAGTTTATAAGACACTTACAATATCTTGCCGAACCTGCAGTTCCTAATGATTTTTTGAAAACCCTATGGTCAAGCCGTTTACCAGGAAATCTACAAACAATAAAAGCATCACAGTCTGATTTGCCATTAGATAATTTGGCAGATTTATCAGATAAGGTCCACGAGATTGCGCCAACCACCCTAGGACAAGTCGCCAGCACTTCAACTTCGGGTATTCCTACTTTTTCCTTCGAGGCAATGGTTCAACAGATAAGTGAATTGACAAAGGAAGTTGTGAAACTTACTACAACACAGGTAAATAAGTATCCCCGATATCGCTCAAGGTATCGATCTAAATCTAGGGTCAAACGTAAGCACAATTATTCTAAAACGCGACCACCACAGACACCTCCGAATCATCCTCACTGCTAATATCATTTTACATATGGTGCGCGTGCCAGAAAATGCTTAGCACCTTGTAATTGGGAGGCGGAAAACTCAACGGGCAGTCGGCAGTAGCGGCCAACGATTGCTCAGCTAACACAGGCCGTCTATTTATTACTGACCGTGTCTCTAAAATCCTTTTACTCGTGGATACTATGTCAGACCTTTGTGTTTTCCCACGGTCAGCTATTAAGACGCCGTGTATTCCTACAAAGTACAGTTTGATTGCTGCGAATGGTACAGTCATAAATACTTATGGTGTTATACAGCTACAGCTGGACCTTGGACTCAGACGTACTTTTACATGGAATTTCACTATTGCCAATATTACGAAACTCATTATAGGAGTGGTTTTCTTAAGTTTTTATAATCTGCTTGTAGATTGCCTGAGTCAGCGACTAATAGATGGCACAACTACCCTTTGTGTACAACGCCAGAGAGTCCCAGATGATGTCATCACAATCAAAACCGTCTCTGGTGACAACGAGTTTCAACAGCTGTTACATAACTTCCCGGAGATTACCCGACCTGCAGGTACTGTAACTACACCTAAGCATAATACAAAACACTTTATAAGGACTATACCGGGACCGCCAGTAACCTGTAGGCCTCGGTGTTTAGACCCAGTACGCATGAAAATTGCTCGAAAAGAGTTTGAACATATGTTGGCACAAGGCATTGTAAGGCGTTCTGAGAGTCCTTGGTCATCAGCTTTACATCTTCTAAAGAAAAAAGATGACGGATGGAGGCCTTGCGGGGACTACAGATCAATTAATGCAAGGACTATCCCTGACAGATATCCCATTCGTCACATACAAGATTTTTCTTACCAACTTTCTGGATCCACTCTATTTTCTAAGATTGATTTAGTGAAGGCATACAATCACATTCCTGTAAATCCGGCGGATATACCAAAGACTGCCATAACTACACCATTCGGGCTTTATGAATACCCTTTCATGAATTATGGCTTGAGGAACGCAGCGCAAACTTTTCAGAGATTCATTGATGAAGTGCTCTCTGGTCTTAAAGATTTTTGCTTCGGATACCTCGACGATATATTTTTTTTTTTACACAGTACAGACCTTTCATTACAAAAGCATTTAGAAGGCAAGTGTTCGATATGCTTCATGGATTAAGTCACCCAGGACGTTCAGCTACAGTACGTCTGGTCACTGATAGGTTTATCTAGCCTGGCATTTGTAGAAACTATAGAGAGTGGGCTCGGCATTGCCTTGATTGCCAACAGAGCAAGATCACCCTTCACATTTCCGCTCCCGTTTCCTCTTTTCCTACGCCTTCATCGAGATTCTCTCATATACCTCTCGATATTATAGGGCCACTAACTCTCTCTTATGATTTCAGATATTGCCTCACTATCATCGATAGATTTACACGATGACCTGAGGCGATTCCCCTGAAAGATCACAGCAGAATCCTGTGCCTCCGCTCTGGTATCTGGGTGGATATCCAGATTTGGCTGCCCTGCTCGAATCACAACGGACAGAGGACGCCAGTTCGATTCCAGCTTATTTAAGGCAATCGCATCCTTGGTTGGTGCTCGTCATTTCTGCACAACTGCCTACCAATCTTTTATTAATGGAATGGTGGAGCGCGTACATAACTAGCTGAAAGCAGCCATTATGTGCCACAACTGTACACAATGGACTGAGGTACTTCCGCTCGTTCTTCTTGGTATTTGCAGCTCTTGGAAAGAAGATATTCAAGCTTCGTCTGCTGAACTGGTGTATGGCGAACCTCTTCACCTTCCTGGCGAGTTCATGACTCCTAAAGAAAACAACTACACTGAAGATTTCACCACCTTTGCCGCCCGTCTACGCTCATATATGGCTAAGCTGACGTCAAAACCAGCTAAGTGGCACAGAAATGGTCCATTTTATTTTTCCAAAAGTCTAACAGTTTGCAATCATGTATTCCTGCGTCAGGACCATGTACGAAAATCACTAGAGTTTTATAAAGTGCTCTTGCGAAATAAAGCGGTCAACGTCAGTATTGATCGTCTAAAACCTGCGTATGTTACAGATGGACCCACAAATACTTCGGTTGCTACATCTTCATCATCTCCTCTTCCAACATGCATCCATAACGACCAAAAAACGAAGGAAAGAACTAAGAGAGGAAGAAAAGTTCATTTTCCTGACTACTATCGACCGTAGCCACGGTCTCGGCGGGGGAGTACTGTGGGATATCAACAATGAACAAAGCCACTTCGCGCGCGCACACTCCTATCGGAATACTTCGGCAACCTTCGGAATTTACATCCGTGATATTAAGCACACTCTCATCATGCCAAGGTACCCTTCACTCGCTCAGAGATTCCGGAGTAGACGAACGTTCGATCGCCTTGCATTTTCTATACTTACGATAGTTACATACCAGTATTGTTTTGTTAGTTTCCGCCCTTTTACTCTTGTTCTTTTTGTTTGCATTCACTGTAGTATTTTGGGTTGTTTTATGTGTTAAACGTAAATTCTAATGTATATAATTATAACTGACTTATACTTAACTTTGGACTTTCTTTGTTCACCATACTACCTAAGACACAGTGCAGTTAAAAAAACTTTAATCGCTACAAATCTATTATGGACGCAATAACTAAAACGGAAATCCCCCACAAATCTGCGGTTTTCCTAACATCAATAGTTTTGAAGTATCTTACAACATCTTGCGATAGTACTTTGCATTGCATTATGTTTTGGTAGGTTGCATTCTAAGCTAGTGATTACTGAAATTAAATATGGAGTTGTAATCTTTCAACCAATGCCCTGTAATACATAAAATATGTATACTGTTACTATTTAAAAATAATTCAATTTCTAATTCTTTGCCTAACATACCTTGTATATTTTGATTCACCAGGTCGATACAGTTTTTGTTATTGTTATTTTGTGAAATTGCATAATTATGTATTGGTAAGTTGCATTCTAAGCTATTTAAATTATCTTTGCTAGAGATTACTTCTATTGTCTTACTATCTAATTTAAATTACTTGGAACTGGTTCCAAATCAAATGTAAAATTATTGACCTGCTCAAAAGAAGCAGGTGTCAAGGTAGCCAAATCATTGGAAGAGTTAAAATATAAATAATAAGATATAGATAAAAAGATAAGAGCGTAAATAGATAAGAGCGTATTTGCTACCAGTCTTAAACTACACTTTGATAGGTACTTTGTACTTTGTAGTACGAATGGGTCGGCTCGACTGAAGTAGCAGCTTAATGCTGCTGTGTTTCTTATGTTGAGTGTAGAGATCCGGAGACCCTTTTTACTGGAAACGAGGCATTCCATGTTAGTTCTCAGGGGTGATAACGTATCTGCATTTTAATTCTTAATCGATGATAAATGTAGATGTCTATGGGCCACAGTACCCACTTATCATCAGGTCGACTGTGCGTTCATTTGTCACATATATCACTTATTCTATAAAAAAATTAAGGAAAGCTAATAAAACTTTAAAAGTGTTTCTAATTAAATAACCGGCTAAGTGCGAGTCAGACTCGCGCATGAAGGGTTCTGTACCATCGTTAAACACGTTTCTTTCGATTCCTAAAAACTAGTTGATCGACACTATGTGTAGTATAATATTATAGATAAGTGTTTATACCTACTAATTCATCTCAAATTTATAAATTTATTCATGTAGTGATTTGTTAATAAATCTATATATTCACCATTTGTAATTCATGTTTGATAGACCACCAGCAATTTAACCGTGTGCGGCTTCTGCTGGAGAACTAGACATTAATTTGTTGTGTATCAGGTTTTTACCCAGGTACTTAAACCCATATTAGTATAAGATTGACCGAAATGAATCATAGTTCGTGTAATGAATCCATACTTGATCAATCTAGTCACTAGTATTAAATGAGTGACACATTAATACAAAGAAACATTAAATGCACGATAAAGCAATCCAAACATTCAATAAGAGGGAAAATATTCCCATTTACATGAAACAGGCATCATAGTTGTTCAACCTCGGACAGAGAAATGTCAAATAAAATGAAACGTTCAATGCCTTTCTACACTTATAGTGTTTTGAAAGACAAAGATTACGTTAAAGTAAAATAGAATCATTCATTTCTAACTGACTTTTATAAAGAAAGAGGTGTACAATTATATGTATGTTACCCGATATTTTCGTCAAACGTGAACCGATTCTGATAATTCTTTTTAATTTGAAAGGTGAAGCGTGGTCCCATATAAATATAGAGAAAAACAAAATGGGGGAAGAACTTTTTAATGTTGTATGTGTTAGAGCCACGCTGTAGCCATATTATGTGTTTAGCACGAATGGGTCTGCTTGGCCGGGTAAGGAAAAGGAAACCAGCGTTAAATAGCAGCTTAATGACTATTAAAGTAAAATTTAATTATTTATTTTACTAAATAGATTCACATAGAACGTCTCGTCTGCTAAGAATGGATCGACACGTTTGGGGGAGATTCATGCTCACACAGAATACCAGCTTATAATAGCAGCATAATACTACAGTGTGTTGTAATGACCTAAAACCCTTTTTAATGTAGTAACGAGGCAGTCCACCTTAGATCTGGGGAGGGGAGACAACGCATTTGCATATCAATTCCTTATCGAAGATAGATGTATAGCATGGACCCTAGCATTTAGTTACCTTCAGATGGACTGTTTGGTGTTACTAGTATAATGAGTGATAATAAATATGCTATGTTAGTAACTCTGGTATATAGGTTTGGGGAAAAGTTTCCTCGTATTTTATATTACATACAGACATAATTTTTTCAAAGTTTAATTACATTCAATTATTATAATATATATTTTTCATTTTGTTCGATAACTTTTCACCATCTTGTAGGTAGTGACATAATCCCGTTGCTGTAGAAATCTTGGGATTTTAGATAAAAAATAGTCACAAGTAGTTTGATAATCCTTTCTTATGTTAACTTAACACTAACAAAAAATTCTGAAGAGATCGAAAATGGCAAAAATCTGAGGGTGCAAGATCAGGATTATATGGTGGATGCATTGCATGCAGTACTTTCCTTTACTGCTGTCTGTTTTATTAGATTAATATGGAATATAAGAATAATAATAAATAAAATAAAATGACGTAGGGAAGTGACGACCCCATCGCCCACTGACGTAACAATTAAGTGACAAAACTGCTAAGTAGGTACAGTCAGTCAGCGCCCTGCCAAGAGGTGTGAGCGCCGTGCCTAGGAAAAATTGAGAGTGCAAAGGTCCATTTACCTGGACTCAGCAAGCGGCACCTGCCGCTGGTGGAGTCCGGCGCATGCGTTGGACCAAGAAAAGAAATTCAAACGCATTGCGGGCATATTTTAGGGCGAAAGAGGGAGAAATTGGAGGTTTTGCGTACTGGGCTAGGATGCATCACTTTCTTGCTGAGCATAAGCAATCTATTTCCGTCACCGAGCAAAACCTGGTAGACCGAGTTTGGTACATCATGCGCTATAAAACATTTGATAACGCCGAACTCGAACGGCTAATACTACGACACGACTAATAAGAGGCGATCAGGGAAGCGCACTGTACGCCTCTCGAGAATCGACTGCGACTTCCCCGCATACCCCTAAACAAGCGGAATCGGGCTGTCGTAAGGACCCTACAACCAATGCTGGTGACCTATTTGGAAGCCAGCTAGGACCTTTGCGATACGGACTCAATCCTTTTTGGCACTGGCAGTATGCCGTATTATTGGCGCCAAGCTTCCCACGTCTGGACGTGCTACTACACAAAGTAGAGCCATCCCAGCCTCGAGAAAAAGTATTGAAGACCGTATCGCAAAGGCAATAGCCCTCATAGTCAGACTGACAAGTTTCAGGTTGGGCATTAACAGGCAAAGAATTGAGTGAAACATCAGGATGGCGTTTTCAGGGACAAATGTCACTTTGTCCCAGCCGGAGATTACGCAGCGCCCGAGCCTATTCACTTTTGGGGTCACACATTTGGCTCTTAAAGATCGGGATACCACATCAGGATTTTATTTTATGGTGCATAAAAGTTTAAATAAATAAATAAATTAGACGGTAAATATACTATACTCAAATACGTTACACGTTAAGTAAATTTTCAAATATTTTTCGCACCTGCAAATTACCTAGTGTTGCGGTTTTTCATGAGT